GATCTGTACTGTACACCCAAGAACAACACCATAATTTTTGTTTCGATTTAGTGTACAAAGCTTCTCAACCTGAACACAGGCCTTGACAAATGGCTTAAACAACAACAACCTTTTCCCAAATACAGAGTATTATAGAAACTTTTAAAGCTCTCTACATGACATTTAAAAAAAGTTGCAATGGAGTTGAACCATGGAATCAAGATATTTATGGCTCAGTACCCATAGTACTGTACAGTAGCTACTACAAGTTTAGCAGCCTGAGCATTGTTGCTAATAATTAAATAGCAAACATACACAAGCAAGCAACAATGGTTACACGAAAATTGCAGTTTACTAAAATCAATAATGTAACATGATAGTAGATACTGGCAATCAATGGCCAATGAATGATCAATATATAAAAAATATTTTTAAAAGCTTACATTTTAAAAAATGTAATCAAAATTTTAAAGATTTAATAAAAAAGAGTACTCTAAAAAAAAAATCAATTTTCTTTCTTATATTTATTGCCATCAATTTTGCATACTGGATAGCAATTATTTTTAACAGGTTTTATGAGATACTATATATTCTCACATATTAAGCATGGCTTAAAATAGCAAATTATTTTCGAAGAAAATAAAGGGAGTCGTCTTAATACATGCAACACAAACAAAATTTTAAAAAAAATCAAGTTTGTCCTTGTGCTGATTATTTGTAACACGCGAATTTACTACTGAAATGAACCTACTAATGTTATTATAAATGAACGCAATTAATGTGGGGAAATAAGATTTTGATACACATTTAAAAGCTATAAAATGTTATTATTTGGAAGACAAACAAAATATTTAAAAAAATCATGTTTGTCCTTGTGCTGAATATCTGTAACACGCGAATTTACTACTGAATTGAACCTACTAATTTTATTATAAATGAACGCAATTAATGTGGGAAATAAGATTTTGATACACATTTAAAGCTATAAAATGTTATTATTTGGAAGATTAGTGTTACATTTGACTATGTTTTTAACCAGCTAGATGCAGTAGCATGAAGTGCTCTATTAGACTAAAACCTTATTATCATTATTAAAAGAGCCAAAAAAAAAACAACAAAAAAAACCGATGATGAAACAAGGAGGTTGTCCTATAGAGCAGTCATACAAAAATCATCCAAAAATCTTCTCGAACTAGGAGAAGGGGAGGCCTTACAGTATACTCCGTATATGGTATATTTTCTCAAAAAATAATGACAATCAGCACATACACTTTTTGACCCTAAACTTCTCTACTGGCTTTAGTCTCTAGCTCCTCCAACAATATTAAATTCAGACAGCGGTAAGTCCAGTTGACAATTCTGCACAGGGTTGCAGTGGGTAGTAGACATTTTAAAAAGGGTGGACGAAGACGTTGGTAAACTCTAAATAATAAGAGTGGATTTTAAAGATGTGTTAATAAAGTTGGGTGGAGGGCCATGAAATTAGCTTTAGACTAGGTGGAAACTCTCGACTGGGTGGCCCCACCCAGCATAACTACATCCCTGCAGCACAATATTTCTACATGCTTTTTTATTGTTACGCAAAACTTGTACATTATTTTTTCCAAATATAAACAGAAGTTTTACAATATAAATAGCAATGTACTAATTATGTATCCTCTAATGATGAATAATATTCAAGTTGTGTCAGGAAAGATCGAAAATTCTTGGTTGTCTATACAACACAGAAATCAATTTTAAGAGAATTCATTATCTACATTGTAAGAGTAATACAGACAAACATAACAAGAGACGTTTAATGGTTTTAAGAACACTGATGCATTTCTAACTCAGTCGGTAATATATACAGCCTTCATCCCAACACGATGGCGTGCATTTCAATACTTGGAGTATGTACAGTATTATACTACCTTCATAGTATACATACAGAAATACATTTAATTGTAAAGACAACGTTTTTCCTTTTCAAATGCCTTGGGAGGGATTACAGGTTACCCAATGCCTATTTTTTCATGTAGTACACAGGACACTAAATCAAAATACCCTACATTAATTGAAACAAAAATTTGGAAAATTGGTTTTTGAAATCACAATTCACTGAAAATTAATACCAAATGTCCAGCCAAACGCAGCAGCAAGGTTTTGAATTATTTTATTTAATTTCACCCAGCCTCACAATTATAGCCACTTACAATAAAACAATGGTGTACAATATGAAGAAATATTATTTTTAAGAAAACCGGCTGAAACTAAATTCCTAATATATGAAGTATGTCAAAGCCAATTAGTCTCGGTAAAGGTTAGTTTTACCTTTTCCTGACCAATATGGCAGTAAGATGTTGAAATTAATAGGTTCAATTTCCACTAGTGTTACAAGGCATTCAGTTAAAAAAAGATCACAATCTTAAAGCACAATACAGACTATCAAATTTTCTAATGACAAAAACTGTTGTACGCCCATATATAGTCAAGATTTGCTTATATATGGTCATGATGTGATGTTATTTCTACTTATTTTTTTAAAATTTATTCAGCTTTAGGCACTAGGGCCAGGGATATGCCGAACAGTGAACGTCTCATCACTAGACTGCTGGGGCTTTATGGACAGGTACACCGGGATAACCCCCCACTACTCATCTCGAAAGATTTACTGGGTTCTTTAAAGTGCACATGAGCAAATTGTGTACACTGGGCCAACAGTTTATAGTCCTTATCTTGTGGAAGACCTGTTCCACCTCTAGAACCATAGGCGAGCTTGCCGTTCGAACTGGTGCCAATATTATGGCTGTAGGTTGCGATGCCATTACCGCGCGGAAATTCCACCACAACCATATTTAGACATGTCACATGTTCTTGTTAATAAAATTTGATACTAGTCTATCCTTTTGTAGTGATGCTAGGTGGTTATAATTCTTGCCTTCTAGTTTCATAGGTTGCCTAAAATCGTGAAAACACAAAGTATTTTCTCTCACTGAGTACAACTCAGTGAGAGAAAAAAAAAAAAATTGCTATGATGACTTCCGCTATTCAAATTTCTATACATCATTTCTAACCCATGACATTATCAGTGACCCATGACCTTATAAATCCATCACATAGGTGACCAGCTGCTTATCCTCATAACATGATGGGATCATCTCAACAACGAGAGATGGCTCCGTAAGATCAGATCACCATAAACAACATACCAATTCCATTGGACTGCTTCTCAATGCTTCGTTGAATTTCCAACACAATATCAATGAAATAGATGCAAGAAAACACTACCATGCTATTGAATATTCATGAAGGTTTTAATAGTGAAAATAGACTTGACACTATAAACATCTAAGTACTATATACATACTGTACATTCCAACTTCCAAGTTCTACATTTGATAATCAATTCTGAAACAGCTAAATGTACAGCAACATGCATTCACTTCATCATACATATTATTTAATAGTACAGTTATTCCTTTTCTCTCTCCCTTCCTTTCTCATCCCCCAAAAACCTCATATAGTTCAAAGTTTAAATCATTTTCAGAAAACCGCACCTGACAATTCAGAGAGAATTAATGGAATTAAATATTTGTTTAACATTAATACAGTAGTTTGACAGCATGCAAACATTTATCCTGATATACCTACATAGACTGTCCTTGGTAATAAAATATTTTATCTATACACATACAGTTACCTGACAAATAACTGATATTATAATGGAAAATGTACCGTATCCAATTTAAATTCAGATGAGAATATTGGCCACTTCCTTTTGGCCTGCCCAGCACTACAAAATACAGTACATGCCCTGACGAAATTTCTAAATTAAAAGTAGAAATTACATGACAACATGGAATTATTATAATAGATTAATTAATATGCAAACGATGACTTCTGCAACAGTGTGTAGAACATAGGTAATAAATATCCAATCCTCCTCCCTACAAAACCCTAAGATGCACACTGACACACATACCCCTACACACCCTATTACATATCTATACATACATACAATGACACAAGACACTCTGATACATCCACACAAATTATCTATAAAACATAAAATTATCCACTACATCATACACCTTGGCATAGATACACCCAACACAATTCCATGTTTGGTATAAATGCCAGATGGTCACTGAGTCACTTCTTCATCAGTTAGAATGACCAAGCCATGCTAGGATTCAAAACTGACCAACAGATGAATACCGACGCTCATAAACACAACCTCAAAGGTATAGTAAACCCTTCTGAGCATGTCGTAATAGTACTGTAATAAAAATATATAGGGTGCTATATGGTGTGGCTTCTGTGCACCTAAGTGATACCATTACCAATAATGCTTCTGACCTAAAACCTACACTGTCAGCCCATGAAATTTGGTCGGCAGCCTCGGCAATTTTCTACTACCTAGGAATATATAATAAAAACTATGATTTTTCAGAACGCTCGACCTTGCATTGTCATCTACAGATTGTGATTTTGTTAATTTCTCTATTAAATGAATATATTGCTGGTGAAAGAATGGTCGTATTTGTATTAATTTAATAGTGTAGTATAATACATATGTTTTACATAAGAAAATTGCCGAATAAATTTCGTTTTAGCATTCGTTTTATCATTATCTTTGGCATGGAAAATATCCCTTTCGTAAAAGCTACGATCGTATCATCACAGGCTGCGCATGCCAGAATAAGCTATCAGGGATTTTCCACACAGTACTTGTCAGTAGTGAAGTCACGATGCGATCGTGATTGCGTTTAAATTGACGGTAGGATTAGGCCTACAATATGTTGAATTTTGTTGTTTTTAGATAACAAACATTTTAAATATGAAAATAACACTGTAAAATGAAGACAAATAATAGATGCAGATAAGCATTACAATCTACGCGGCCAATGTGACTTCAATTTGGCGATGTTGTAGGCCTTGGCTGGCTACCGTCATTCCTACCTAGGCCTAGCCTATGAAACGACTAAGCGAGAAAGACAAGACGATTGTACACAAATCGTACGTACTGCATGCCTATTAGAAATAGTTATTGTACAAACAAATCTGTTTTATAAACCACCAATTTCCTTGGCTTGATGACGTACATGAAATTTAGTGTCTGCTACAGTATAGCCTGTTTCAGTCAAAGTTTTGACTTTCCAAGCAGTTTTTGAAGCAAAGAAATCTAGGCCTAGGTTGGCAAAATTCTGGCTTGGCAATATGGTCGGCAATTGCCGATTGCCAACATGAAATTCATGGGCTGCACTGTATAGTCCATTTAATTCACCATATTTTCCAATACAAATTATTGTTCATACTTTTAAAGTACGTTCTCAGTGGTTGAGACTGGTGTTTATATGAGCATACAATTTATACTCTAATTCTTCCTAAATGAAAATCCAAGATTTGTTGTACCCTTGTTTCGTGGACCTGCCGCTATCAGATAATAATTTTGAATAAAAATAAAATTATATTTGTGGCCCGTAGTGCAACTGCAGCTGTAAAAAAAAGGGGTGATTTTCCTTTATTTCCACTCTACAAAATCTTCAGATAAGAAATTCTTCTTACAGTACATAAAATAAAGCCTTTATTTTCTTTTCGTTATTAGTTTTGTCAACAAAAAAAAAAAAAGTTCAAAATACTGATGAAGTACTGCATTTATTAGGTGTATTAGGATAGTAAGAAATGTCTATTGCTAGACAATGTACACAAGCTTTTTTTTCTTTAAATCTTATATTGTGAATTATTGTTGCACATCTCTTTAATGATTGTGCCTCTGTTACAAAAGAGAAACAATAAAGTTATTATTATTATTATTATTATCAATTAAATTACTGTTCATAAACTGTTTTGTATGAAAACCAGATGAATTTTATCATGAACAAATTACATTTCAACATCAAACTTCTTTAATCACCATGCAACACAACAGCATCTTGAGCATAAATTTGCACTCTATTACATTTTTTCATTATAGATTCCAATTTTTTATATGCCAATAAAATTTGTGTTTATTTTCTTCCCTTAAGGTGCATTTGCCAGAACCATTGTTCTAATGAAAACAATTTTATTTTTTTCTTGTCCCCTGAAGTTCTTTATAAAAAAAATTTTGCCTTCAGTAATCATCAGAGTCCTTTAAACTTTTCCTCATGGATGTCTCTTCCATGGTACATTATTATAACTAGAAATTGCAAATTGCAAGTGAAGTGCTGCGAAGTAAAACTGCATAAAATGTTCTTCGAACAAAATTATTTCAAGTCAAGTGAAAATAATGAATAATAAAAATAGAACAAATAATATGAGACACGACCCATTGTCTATATTAGAACAGCATTGGTACCGTGTTCAATAGTGTTTTGCTGCAGTGACAACTCGCTGCTGGCGACTTGCTGCTGCTGGCCGATGACTCGCTGCTGGCGAATCGATCTGCGCATGTGTATAAAATGGTATTTATTTCCGAAAACACTATGCCAGTCTACAACAAGCATCGCCTAAATGTAATAATTAGCACGTTGAAATAGGCTAGTAAATAATTTTAACTGGGTTCGTAAATAATATTGGCCTCAAAATATTGTGGCTGAGACGAGCCGATTAAACGTAGAAATAGGAAACCTAGAAATATAATAAAAACACTGAATAGTACTCCAGCGTCGCGACATGCGGACGTTGGTACGAGTAGGTTAGTCTACAAACGTCGCCTAAAGTAATTGATTTTACCCGGCAGAACGAAACTCCGGTTTTCAGTTGTCTTAGACGCAGGTTTTTTGACAAACAATGACCTTTCAGAGGTCAAATTGCTGTCAAGAATATGAATTGGCTGCTTCGAAGCAACTATGTTCCCCTAGAATCTGAAACATGTTTACATTAAAAATTTGCAGTTAAGATACCAAAAGTCATGTGATATGTCATGTGACATGCATCCAAGTGAAAATATAAACAAAATACAGTACTTACCTGAAATGTATATTCATATCGTTTGTCTGATGATCGATTATAGCCTTTTACTTCGATACTTTGAACAAAAACTATGGAAGAACAAAGTACATTACATTAGTGTGATCCATATGAACAACAATAAGAGTAGCACAGAATAATGAGCAATCATTAATCATTCAGAATATGATCACAGCACTAAAAGATCAGCTAGAAAATAATTCAAAACACGCTCAGCACATTTGCCGTTTGCAAACAAAATACATTCTTTAGTGAGGAGGTAGTCAGAGTCGGCAGAGCAACCAAGCCTTGAAGTTTTCCACCCAGTCTAAAGCTAATTTCATGGCCCTCCATCACCAATTATTAACCCCTTTGCTCATCCTTAAAAAAATCCCCTTATTATTTGGAGTTATTATCACCCACACACCATTAAAATGTCTAACACGCACCCTTAGTCTTCTAAAACCCTGAACTTAGTAGGAAGTACATTTTTTCTATTATCCTTTTACAAATGCTTACACATACTTTGCCCCTTAATTATCTTTACCCTAATCTAACATGAAAACAGGTGATCAGTATTTCTTTTCAGCCGCTCTACGCCTTTGGAATATTCTTCCCAGTGTCGGATCTAAGATAATTAGAGGGGGCCCAAGAAGGGATTTTTAGTTATTACAGATGAAGAGACCTCAGCCTAATTACTGTATGCTTTCCTCCATACAAATTTCTGACCTATACGCTTATCACTCATATTTTAGTCCCTCATAACATTTCATTCATATCAGCACATCATGAATATCAAATTTATCCAGGCAATAAGAAATTACATAATTATTTATTACCTTTTATTTACAGTAATAATTTACCATAAGATATACAATAAATATTTCAACAATAAACCAACAATATAACCGTAAAAAATCCTGACAATTTAAAGAGTGCAGAGTGTCATACAATTACTGTACCCAGTGGAATTTCAGTTAATCTCAAATCCTAATCCCTCCTTACTGAGGATTAAAATTATTAATATCAGATTATCAAAAGTTATGGTTCACTATAAGAGGTTAAAATCAGGTGCACAAATGAAATCACTTAGCAAATAGTTATCACTTTGATATGGAAAGGAGTTCAAGTTTGACCTATGTAGGATTCTTATATCCATCCCCTTACAGTGCATTACTATTATAATAAGTTTATATACATTAACATACTGTAGAACTTCTGAAGAAGAAATAATTAACTATGATTATCATTAATATTAACAAAGATGAATTAAATGATAGTGGAAGTATTGATTATTACAATGAAGATGATTATTACAGTACAGATAATTATGGCAATAATTTGATAATGAAGATGATTATGGTAATGAAGATATGAGTATCATAATGATTATGATAATCCTGATGAAGATGATTATCATACTGAAGATGACATTCATAATAAAACTGAAGACAAATATTCAGGATGATACTGAGGATGCATATAAAAATATCAATAAATGAAAATAAAATTATTATTATGATAATGAAGATGATCATAATAAATGAAGATAAAGACCATGTGTGTGGTATCAAAGGTTCTCCCAACCCACATTTGCAATAACATCATTGCCTGCACAATTTACTCAATACTGAAATTAAGTGCAGTACAGATAAGGATGAATTTTATAGAAAATGCTGTGGTAAATGAAGATGGTTACTGAAAACAATTTAATGAGGAAAAAATAAGTATTGATAGTCTTGATCAGAAATTGATTGAAAGAGATCTCACGTGTAAATGCCTGAAGTATGTATGGGTATGTGGGTATGTAATACTATTTATTCTTTTTATTCGGAATTTATTATTTTTTTATTTTATTTTTATTTTATTTCATTTTATTTTTTTTTTTTAAGGGAACAAATGATTATTGGGTAATGTGATTCTTTTGATTTGCCATGTTTTGATTTTGTTTGTTAATGGTTAATGGTTATTAATTTATAGAGCGCAAAATACAAAAAGTCTCTAAGCGCTATCAGGCAAGTGTAAAGATGGAACGGAAACCAAAAACACAAAAATAAAAAAGAAGTGAAATTTGAATACCATGCCAGCACCCAAAGCGAAGTATGGGGACACGCCCTCATCGCTGGCTAGTACGTGTGCCACTGTTGTAAAAGTGTAGCTTCCAAATAAAGAATAATAAAGAATAATTATGTAGGTTTACATAACAGATTCTTGAAACAGCTGAACCCAGTCAGTGTGATAATTACACTATGTTTACTACTTGAGATTTTACATTTGATACAATCTGAAACGGTTGACTGGCAAATGAAATCCACTACTACTATATACAGTATACAGTAGGGATAAAAATGGTTTTGGTCTAATTCACTAACACCATAAAGAGATTAGGGATAAAGTAGGCATAGTATAGATCTCAGTTATCATTGGTTTATCTTATGTTAATCCATTTCAAAACATGGACACATAATTTTCTTTATTAATCTGGTATTTGAAGGGGAGATTACCAAAAACAAGTCAACAAGCATGTTTATATAATATTAATCTGTTATTTTAAACATCACCCACTGACAAGAAAACAATGTCTGGCCAAGGGCATAAGCAGAATTTTGCTGTTGTACAAACTGTGACATCAAAATTGAGAACCCGAAATACACCCTAAAAACAAGTCTAAAGCTACGTTCACATCAAGCCCGGAGCCTGCACAAAAAATTGTGAGTTGCTATGTTTTTTGAATGCTGCATTCACATTGCACACGGAATACGGTTGTTCGGGTTAAGTACGTATGCGTTCAATTTGTTCGAACCAACTAAGCTTGTTGCTGATTGGTCCAAGTAAAGTATGATTTCAGGATGCAAATGGTATTCGTACAAATTTGATGTAAACGGTCCTATTCTTTACCATTGAATCCATTTTTGACGATTTTATCTCCGAACCAGAATCCGGGCTTGATGTGAATGTTTAAATGGAGGCGGGCTACAATGGGTTTTTTTATGTAAGGATGGTAGGCGCGCCGCACACGTTGGGTATTATTTTTAAGAGATGAAAAGCAGCTCACAAAAAAATGATGACATAAAAATGCATATTGCCACTGTAAAATATATTATATCCCTTATTTAACCCCATAATGTTTAATGGGCATCTGTTAGGCTGAGCTAAGACCATTACCTGCTATTAAATGATTTACTAGCATGCCAGATAAACATACCCTGGGGATCCTAACAATATCAAGTTATGGTTATAAGAATGCCTTTTACATCTACTGAATTTACTTGATTTAAAAGGTTAATTATTAAATTAAATGATAATCACTTCCGCTTGGATAGGCAGTCAAATTCAAAAACTACTTACAGAGTATCATCAACTTCATTATCAACACAAAGATGATAATGATGAACCTATTATCAACACGGAATATTATGTAATACTATTTTAGCATCGAATGATATCATTGGTAGGCTTTATTTTTCTACAACATTTGTTTCAACTCAAGACCAAAAAGTGCTACCATTGTAAAGTCAGAATTTGAGTTCAATCTAAGGTCAAATCTTACCTTTCACACTGGGCCATTCCCAATTATTAACTTCGGATTATTACTACTTATAGGCAAAAAATTGTGATGGTTTTACATAACTGTGGGTATATTTTGGTCAAAAATTCATGTTGATGAACAAAGCATATGAAAATCATAGTCATTTTTCTTCAATTTGTAATCGGGTGGAGGATTTAGAGCAAACTGTTCACATGGTTCAAAGAAATTTTGTCATTCCAAGTCCAGTAGTAATATAGTGTGTGCGAGTGTCCAACAATTTGAAGTGTCGTAGATGGAAAGTTCGGAAGTATGAACTATTAACTCTAAACTGAAAACTCAAATTTAATATCAAAATAATGAACAACAGTCTTATCGCACATGCTGAAGCTAAAGAACAATAATATTAATAATAATAATAATAATAATAATAATAATAATAATAATTATTATTATTATTATTATTGAATAATTCTGACTGATTAGTAGAGAATTACTTCTGTATTCAGTATCAAATCACCACTAACACCGAATCAAATTGGAGCTTTCCATGGACTTGGAATTCCTACTTCCTTCCTCTTTCCTGCCTGTCATATAATCCTTCCATCCCTGGATCTAGAGTGCAATCGACACTGTCTGTATTTTGTCTGAATTTCAATCTGCTGGCCAAATCAGTCTGGCTAATTCGCCGAACAGCTACTTTTAGAGATTGGCATGGACCAGTGATCGTGGGAAATGGTCATAAATCAAATCTGAGGTGAATGTAAGGTCAACTCATGTAGGTTATTTCCATGCATATCAGCCGAATTAAGCCAACAAAAATGCATAATTTAAACAGAATCGATAAATTTTTGTTAATATGAACATGGAGGTACAGTATTAAGAAGTCTTAGGCTGCAGGCTGAACAAATATGAATTGTATCCAATTTTTTTTAAAACACATCAGAAAAAAAGAATCCATATCTTACCTGATAAGAACACAAACAAACAAAGCCACCTAGTGTTTTGTTCTTGTGTTACCATGATATGTTTTACTCAAAATAGGTTCTATTATTGTTCTCGCTCTTCTATTCAAAGAGTCGACACAGGCTAAGTGTACTATCACTTATTGTTACTATATAAAATATATTGGGTGGAACACTATTTTGTCTATTTCAGTATTGATGACTCCGACTCTGTTTTGTCCGACAGAGTAATGTTACTAATAGGTGGTGCCAGTTTCGCCCATTAAAGCACAATCATGACTACGCAAGCTACTGAATGTATTGAGCAAAACACAGTTTTCTCTATCGTTTATGGTTTAATGTACAGTCGATACCAAGCAGTGATCATAAGGGGAAAATGGTTGAAGTCAAAATTTGAGGCCATTTAAAGGTTAAATTGATTAAGTTAGCCTACAGTATCTTCTATTTTATTTATTTATTTATTTGAACATACACCTTTGAATCGGTGGCACTCAATATCAATTGGTGCGTTCGTACAAACAAAAAACAAAAAAAAGGGGGGAAATTTAACAAACAAAATGAATAACAATCGACTGTAAATAATATTACAAAATTAAAGAAA